TGTAGAGACCAGTATGTTTGTTTTTGCGGTGAATTTCTGTTTGAAACTCAGTGTCAGATCTAATAATTTTAAGGTTAAGAAAGGATAACTGGACATTGCCCATAGGAAATGTTGCTCTCATCATATTTCATTACACAAATAAAATTAGTGGTTGAAATTTTTTAAAATTTGACAAAAATATTTGTAAAGACATGTAGTTTCAGTAAAATAAAGTATTGTTGCGTCAGTGAAGTCACGTGACTGATGTCATGCTGCCCTTTCTAGAAATATCCTGATCCTTCGTGAATGCCCTAGCATTTAATAGATTGGGGGTAGCCTGGTATATATAAGATGGTCACAACGTGACGGAACAACAGTGTAATGAGTAATTGAATGTATGCGGACAAAATATTGTTGGCCTCGTGAGACGTAAATTATAGTGTTGTTATAGAGCGACTGTTGAAATTAAGTGTATCGTAAAGTTGTATTCGGAGAGAATAAACCAGTTTTATTAAGTAAGGACTTGTGTCGCTAAAGCTTCGTCGGAACGAAGTTACGGAAAATCAACTAACGACTGGAGCCGTAACAAATTGGTGTCAGAGAGTGGGACAAGAAAAAAAAAGGAAACGAGAAGCGGCAAAACAAACTACAGCCTAGCAGACTTAATGGCAGCAATACAAGAACAGCAAAAGAAACAAGAAGAACGAGAAGAGAAATTACAACAGTTGTTAGAGGAAAAAGAAAAGAAACAAGAAGAACGTGAAAATAAACAAGATGAGAGATTACAGCAGTGGTTGGAGGAAAAAGAAAATAAACAAGAAGAACGAGAAATTAAACAAGAAGAGAGATTACAGTAGTTCTGGAGGAAAAGAAAAGAAACAAGAAGAGAAATTACAGCAGTTGTTGGAGGATAAAGAAAGAAACAAGAAGAACGAGAAGAGAAACAAGAAAAGAAACAAGAAGAGAGACAACAGCAGTTGCAAGAAAACCTGCAACAGTGGCAGCTCGAACAACAAAATAAACAAGAAA